TCCCTCCAGTATTTCTTCCCAGTCGTTTACTTTGAATGCACCTCTATTTAGCACTTACCACAATGTGTTGGAGTTATTCGGGTTATTCACAGTAGCGTCTTAGTGCGTCCCTTGCTGGACTGCACTCCTTAAGAGAGTGTTTTGCTGGGCCCAAAGTAGACGCTCCACACCTGACGTTTGAATAAGCGTCTGTGGTATCCGTCTTCAGTCCCTCAGAACGAGGCGCACGCGCGAGAGGAGGAAGTGTGTGCGCGCTGGGCGAGGGGGCGGGTTCAGGGGGCGGATTCAGGTGGCGGAGCATCACCACAGTGGACAGCCACGCCAGAAAAGCACTTTCCTCTGCGGCTAAATAACTGGAGTTTCCGTTTCACAGAGAGCTCTCGGGCCCAGGCCGCCTGGGTTTCTTTACCTTTGTAACACAGGTAAATAAATTCACCCGCTTCCAGCTCTGAGGGAGACGCTTTGGAAAGGACTCTGTCAGTGCCACGGAACCGCCAGGCGACTGGCTGCCAATCCCCCTAATTCCCGCGAGAGTCCAGGAAGCGAAGCAGGACCACCTCCTCGCCAGCTGGGTCACTTGTAGTTGTGGATAGGGACCCCAGATCCAACGTGGAGGGTCCCACCCATCACCAATGATTCGTCCGAAACAAATAGGCTCCCAAACCATTCCCATTTTATTGGTTAACGGTGCTGTCAGTCTGCGGACACAGGCGGAGGCCTACGGGAAACGAAGTCCGGGGATGCCTGAGTCCTTCTGGGGCTCGTGTTTCTGCTTCCGGTGTTTGGTGGCCGTCCGAGTGCGGGCTAAGGGTCTGGACTAGGGTTCGAGCGCCTTGGGGTCAGGCCGCCCAGTTGCAGGGCCGCAGCAGGCGGGAGCGGCTCTCACCGCGGGCCTGGGCCCCCTCATCGGGTGGGCGTGGCCGGGTCGAGATCTGGGGTCCAACCACCTCAGGCCGAGGTCCGGCGAGCAGACCCTGGAGCAGGATGAGCCCCTTACGCTGAGGCGCCTTCCTCCTCACCACCCACAGGGCCCAGCAGGGACGACCTCGGCTCTGTAGCCATCGAGGAGACAACGCCCGCCCTCAGGGCCCGCCTTTACCCCATAGATCCAGAGAACGTCGCCTGCGGAGCAATTTAAGTCACGCTCTGCGGGTCAGTTACCCAGTCCACGGCCAAAGGGCCGAACCACTGTCCACTTCCTGCCATAAACCAGCTATGTGACCTTGGGCAAGTCTCTGGGAGGAGGGGGGGGGCGTCTCTGAGCTGTGATTGCTTCAGCTTGGAGTTCCTGCCGGAGTATCTTAACTTTCTTTCCAACTCTTAACATCCTATATATTATCCTTACTCTTAAAGCTTGTAACTTTAACCAGGGTAAATCTCCCTATTTAGGAGTGAGTTATGATGCCAGGACTGAGGAATCCTGAACGAGGAGCCCAAAGCTGAGAATCCAGCCAGAGGGGAGGCAGTTGGTTAGAGTATTTGCATCTCCAAAGCCTGGAGCCACTGTCAACCGGTGCTTCTTTTCAGGGTGCTGCTCTCCAAGGTACTGCTACCTTGAGCGCCGTCTCCGACTTCCCCTGCACGTTCACTTTGCAACACTGAAGAGCAGTGCCTTGTGGGATGGGCTGTTTATTGTCCTTATTATATCCCGCAGCTCAGACAGAGCTTCGAGCTGTCCTAGTTTCCAACCAGATCACTAGTCCTTGATCCTTGATCCTTGCTATCAAACTTCTGGAGCTGTGTCCCCAGTGACAGAGGACCAGCCTCCACAGGCACCAGGACATGAGGAGGAGAGAACAGGAAGGTTCTTTCCTTCACCTAAATCCTGTTGGGCTAACACTTGTGGTTTTCACTAGAGTTCACTCTGTAATGTTATGTCTCTGGCTCTAGAATTTCAAGTTCTATGTAGTGACCCCTATTTGAAGGTGGCTTCCCAGTAAGGTAAAGGAAGGGGTTTGAACTTCAGAGCACAGCTGAAAGGTTCTTCTCTGAGCTGAACAATGGCTGTAGCTGTGGACCAACAAATCCAGGCTCCTCAAGTACAGGGAGAACTTCGAAGAGTGAAGCTGGCAGAAGATTCTCACTGGAAAAAGGAAATTTCCCCTCGGGGTGAGATACAAGAACTTAGTGCTGAGTAGTTAAAATAGAGGAACGTGAGAGACAGAGCCACCTGGGGTTAACAGCAGTGTGGGGGATGTGTAGCACTTTGCTGTTTGTGTCAAAGTGGAATCTGCTTATCCCCCAGGCCTGTTAGCTGCCCCTTTCCTCCCAAGTTCAGACTGACTCCTCAGAGAATGCCCAACGCTGGCTGCTCTGAGTGTTGGTCCTTAAATGAGAATCACTTAAAATGGCTGGAGCACCACTCAGGATCACAGAACACATAAAAGCTGTTCTCTTTTTGGAGAACAGCTGGCATTCAGCGACAGCCAGCCTGAATCAAGGGGCTCCACTGGTCTCCACTGACATTACTGAATCTTTGCATCCTATTGCAAAATAGCTTTATTATTGATTGGATCTCTGAGTTTTGCCTAAGGGTTGACAGGAACAGCCCCAGGAGAGCTGGTGAGCAGCCTGCAGTGGGCCTGGTGCCACCCTTTAACTCTCTCAAGTCTTCCACACATCCACACGCCTCACTGCCCTTGTAGAGATTTGTGTAAGACTGATTTCCTCCTTTTCTTGTGTCCTGAGATGATTACTTTTAGTGCCTACAGAATTTTGACCACTCCAGTTCTTGAACAGAGAGAGGAGATGCTCTCAGAGGAGAGGTAACCCTCAGGATCAGAACTGGGTTTCCTAAACATCCATTTGAGGCCAGCAGACAGAACCCATGTGTCTGTGCCAGGCACTGGTGAAGCGCTCACAGCCAGAGCCAGAAGAATAGCTGAACCACAGTCCCAAGGTAGAACTCCAGTTCTTCCACAAGAGAGGTAAGAAGAAACAGTCCTTCTTTGTCTATCTGGATCTTGGTATGCAAGATTGTGAAGTGGGGGTGGGGGAGCTTCGGAGTCCGACAGCCGAGTTCAAATCCTAAGTCTGCCACATACTGTGTAACCTAAACAAGTATGAAAGGTTTCTAGCACAGGGCACAGCTGTTCAGTAAATGTTAGCTTATTTCTTCTCTTTCTTTCTCTTCCCCTGCTCCCTTCCTGTGCTCCCCGTTCCATTTAAAAGCCAAAGGAAACTCACTTGTTTGTTAGTTTCTTCTGAGTCTGTTTTGTCCCCTGCCCTCTGACTCAGGCAGTATAGAGGCAGTTTGTCCAATGGTAGCGTGTTTTGAGTAGAGGTGTTCTGTTTTCTCAGGAGTTGGTGACATTTGGTGGTGTGGCTGTGTATGTCTCTCTCAGGAGGGACAGAGGCGACCAGAACCTGAACAGAGGAACCATCTGGAAATAAGTTGGGAGAAATCTGCAAATGGAGCCTTGCTAGGTAATAATGCTCTTCTTTTTTTACAACCAAATTAGCTGTGGGGTTTCTGTGGCATTCACCACTCCAGACCTTTTGAGTTGAGTTTTTCAAATCCATTCCATCAATTCCACTTGAAGAGACATATAAATCTAATACCATCATCAGTGCTGTGAAGGGTGTTTCTGGAGTCCACAGTGGGTGCTGCATTGAAGCCCATCTTAGGAAGGTGGTAACACCTCTGGCAGGTGTCCAGATAGGTGGATATAGATATATAACTAGAGATTTGGGCCTGATTTTTTTCTTATTCTCTCACAGTCCTTGACATGACTTGCACTGAGCCTTCCTTCCTGGTATTTAGTTGTTAGGATTAGATTCACCAAACCATTACATCTTCTATTTGTCTCCCTGCAAACAGATTTCTCAACCCACAGGCCCAGTGTGAACTCTCACATGGAGGAGATAGAGCCACAGAGCTCAGATCGTCAGCGCTCCAGAGGGAGGAAGCATGTGCGAGGCTCCCCAGCGGGTGGTGGGGAAGAGTCCAGCCTGGCCGGTTGCCTGTCCTGAGAAAAGCCAAGACCTGGGATGAGCTGGAGTGGCAGGGCCTGGAGGATGAGAAGGTGGCAGAGGTGCAATGGGGCTATGACAAAACCAAGATTTCTCTGGAAATTCTCAGTGAATCCTGGATCCATGAAAAACTCCGCACCTGCCATTGGAACCACCAGGTGTACTGGCCTGTGGCTGAGCGGCTGCAGGAATGTGATTTCCTATGGACCCTGGAGCAGTGATGCCACCGGTTCAAAAACTTCCAGACCCACTACCACAAAGCCAAGAGCACCCACAGTCCAGGCACCTGCCCCTTCTATGACGAGATGGACGCTTGATGAGTCCCTGGGCCCTTGCCAATACCATCAGTGCCTGAGAGGTGGCAGACCTCCTCTGCAATGGAGGGGACTCCAAGAACCAGAAGGCAGTGCTGGGAGCTGCGACAGGGGATGGAATGGTAATAAAATGGCAGAGGAGCCCCAGGAGCCCAGAAGCCGTGTTCCCCAGGCTTTGAGGGGGAACCCCAGTGGTAAGCAATTCCCACCACTGGGGGAGAGTCATGTGGGAAGCTGAGGGACTGTGAATCAGGAGACACGCTTATTGTCTGTCACTCTGCTATCACTAGAATGGTTCCTGGAATGGCCCTGTCAGGAGGAAAATTGCTGACTTCTTTAGAGGAACATTATTTACTTCTCCTAAATATTAAAATCAACCCCCCACTGAACCAACAGTCCTGGGGGACTCACGAAGTCCACACTGAGGGTTTAGCTCTGCTCTGTAGCAGAGGGATCTCTCTGCCTGCTTTCAGTATCAGTATCACAAAAACAGAGAAGAGGTTGAAGTTTCAGTTTGTTTCCATTTAAAGTACCCCACAGATGTGAACTCTGCGTGTACTACATACCATAGCCTGCCACCTAAAGGCCTGTGTTCTGGGCAAGCTGGTTAAGTGTCCTGAGCCTCAATTTTCTCATCTGTTAAATGGACAGTGACAGTATCTGCCTCCGCGGGCTGTTAAGAGGATACTGGCACACTGTTAGCACCCCGCAAATGTTAGTTTTCATTATTATTGTTACCATAATTATTAAAATAGATACATTCATTGTCACATACGCTCACTTAAGGGGGCAAATTTCCTGAGTCACTGAACTTTTTCTTCTGAAAACTAGACCTCTCTAGGAGGTGCTTCCATTCTCGTTTCACTTACCACTTCCGGATATGAGAACAGAAAGGGAATTACAGACGAACTCTACGACTTTTCTTGCTTTCCCTTGAGCAGACTTTCAGTTCCTCAGCCAGACGAAGTCTCAAGGTTGGACAGATGTGAAGAGCTTCCGAATGACGATTTCCAGGACTTCAAGGAAAATTCGGAAAACTTCCTGTGCGGGTGGGACATGAGTGAAAGCCAGTAATTCCACCACCAGAGAAGACAGACCTGGAATTCGGAATATGGATGAGCCAGCACTGGGCCGGGGCTGGGAAAGGAACCCAGGCATTTGGCCTTCCTGGTTTACTGTTCTCAGTGGTGCTGAAACCGTGGGAGTTGGGAGAACTGAAAAGCCTGTTCTCCTAACTTTGAACCTTAGTTACCTTGGAAATTAGATACAAACAAATAATTAGTGTTTATGGTTTCTCTCTTAAATTTCTACCTGAATTTTAACTATAACTATCATTTAACCAGGTACGTAGAAATAAGGGAGCATAGATAACCCCAAATTAAAACTACAGCCAACTTCAGATTGGAGGGATGAATTTCTCATAGTTGAGACCCAGAAGTCTGCCGGTCTTATCCGTGCTTCCGCCACATTCCAGTTGACTGGTCCCTGGTTAATGGAGAGTTGTCTATGTTCTGTCTGCTGACATCGATGACTTTTTTTTTAAGTGTCTGCTAAGGACCTCTTTCACATTGTTTCCATTCTTCTGAATTCAGAAATCGGTTACATTTGCAGTTCACTTCATGCTTTCAGATCTTGAAACAAGGACAGAGAATGAAAATTCAAGCCAGGACATTTCACAGGAAGTAGAATTCCCTGGGGATTATTAGAAAGAGCTGAAGTGGATGTTTCCCAGTGATACCTTAACTGGAGGAAAAGCTAGGAAAGTGAATATGAGGCAGAAAAGCAGTGGGGAATATCCTTAGAAGATGGACAAGAATCACCCTTTCCTCCAGAAAGAGACTTAGGGAACCTGTGAAGGAGAAAAATCCAACATGTACTGTGACTGTGGAAAAAATTTCAGCCAGAGCTCACATCCAGTTGTCCAAATATTAGCCTACATTGGCAAAAAGAAACCTTTTCCAATGTGGCCTTTGTGGGAAAAGCTCTGGCCAAAGCTCACATCTGGTTTTGCCACCAGAGGATCCACACTGGGGAGAAGCCCTACAAGTGCCCTGAATGTGGGAAGGGCTTCAGTGATCATTCTAACCTCCCAGCACACCAGAGTCCATACAGGAGAAAGGCCCTATAACTCGGGAGCGCTGGAAAAGCTTCGACCAGAGCTCAAGGCTTTTTATGCACTGGAGAATCCACACAGGAGAGAAGCCCCATAAGTGTAGTGAGTGTGGAAAAAGGTTCATCAACAGCTCGCACTTCAGTGCACACTGGCGAACGCACACTGGTGAAAAACTCCACCAGTGCCCTGAGTGTGGGCAAATGTTCAGTAAGAGCTCCACTCTCATGAGCCATCAGAGGATCCACATAGGAGAGAAACCTTACGAATGTCTTAAACGTAGGAAGTTTCAGCAACCACTCAAACCTCATCACTCACAGGCGAATTCAAATGGAGAGAGACCCTATAAATGTGAGGATGTGGGAAGAGCTTTAATCATAGCTCCAGTCCAATCACACACCAGAGAACCCACACAACAGAAATATCCAAGTGTAATGAGGGTGGGAGGCGATTCAACGACAGTTCACATTTTAGTGCACATCGGAGGACCACGTGGGAGAGAGGCTCTACACAGAGGGCAATGTCTTTAAAGACACTAAGGTATCTGTCCCCATGAAGGGTCTATACTGCCCCTTGCTCTACACCACGACAACCCACAAGGATGGAGAGAGGGGATACAGATCCCAGCGCAACAGATCTTATTTTCTCTAACTAAATGCTCACTTGCCTTATGAAATACTACTCGGGGCTTTCCTATCCAGCCTGTTGGCATGGAAGCTGATTTCCAGAGAATTCTGAGAAGAGCTCTGAATATGACGGCATCGCCATCTCAGTGTCTTCACTGTGATTCTGTGCCTTAGTTTTCACAGTCTGGTAATATGAGGGTGAGATTCTTGTCCCTGGGACCCTCCCTCAAAGACGAGGGGAGGCTCTGCCTTCCTGTGCTAATGGCGGTGATGATGGTGGGGTCAGCTGTAGAGCCAGCAATGGCTGAGCTGTTCCTTCTCAGCACTGGGCTACACACAGATTTATTAACTAAACCCATTTTTAAAGATCTTCCACTGTTTTTCCTATGCAAGGGTTAGGGCCACGGATGTTTACGTTTCCCCAATTCTTTTTCTTAGGATTTACATTGGTTACCTGAGAGAAAAACACTTTATTGTATTTGGGGGAGGGAGGAGAAAAGATCCTATAGAGGTTGACTTTCTAAATCATAAGCTATTCTTCCTCTCAATATACTCAGTTGAACCATATAACACTGCCATTTCTGATCTACAATACCAGCAATTTCATGATTCAACCTAAACAGAATTTTTGCATGGCAGAATTACTCCAATGCCCGAGGGGCTGCTGTAAAGCCCCAGAGCTCATATTTATCCTAAAAATGTGAGACTGGGTCTAAAGATTGTGAAGGAGGATAATGAAGTGGATAAAGCCATCTCCGTCTGTAAATATGTCCAGAGCAGTAACTAAGAACCATGGCACTGACTAAGATTAGTCTTAGGTGGAGGGTTTACCTCTGTATCACTTGCCTCTGACAAGTGGACTAGGTCCTGTCTATACTCGGGGGTCCAGGTCCTCCGGGGGAGGCCGTGTGCAGGTCAACAGCTTCCCCAGATGTGGGTGTCTGAGAGCAGAGCCCCTGGAGGGACTCTGATGTGCAGAGCGAGTGGTACTTGGAAATAAACAGAACAGTTTCTCCCTCTTAAATTGTTTCCTTGGTGTGTTTGATTTAAAAATATTTTCCCACTACTTTCCAGAAACCCAATAATTATAAAACAAAGCACGATCTGCATATATTATGATTGTATCTAATTAGACTTATAGAATGATTATTAAGTCTTTTTTTAAGAACATAAAGAACTTACCCAAATAAGGGTTGTCTGTCAAGAGCAGTCACTTTGGTGGGCTGTGGCCTTTAGATGTTGTCACTACTGAAGACATTCTTTGAGTCTTCCTTTAAGGACCGTCTTTAAGCCACCTGAGAAAGCCTCACGCCCCTGTACTTCCAGCACACAGAGCAGTGTCTTGCACATGGGAAGGCAGGCTAAATAAATGTTCACAGTATCAAAAGCTTGCTTATTATCTAGCCTGGTCCTCTCTCTTGTCGATGAGATGTGGCTCTGCCCAATGTCTGCTTCCCCAAAATAGAATCTCTTCAAAGGACATCAGTTTTGAGATGCTGCTTTTGAGACTTTTAAAAGAGCCCTTTTGGGACTGGCTTTCAAAAACGTATCCCAGAAATCTGAGTTTAGAGTTTTCGTATAGTCAGAAAATAAGTCTCATATGGATTATTTTAAATCACCTCACTCTTTTCAATGTAAAATACTTTACTTAGGTGGAAATTCATATCAAGATCTATTAGGAATGTATTAGACCACATGGGAACTACAGATTCCACGGTCTGGTGGGCATGACTCAGGCTTCCTCACTGATGTGGCCCAGGATGGGGGCTCCCACTCACTCACTTTGATAACTTTGTCCCAGCCCCAGAGAACATGACCTTCTCCCTTCACTTCTCTCCAGGACTAGAGCTCTACAGTCTCTTCAACACAACTATGTCAGTCCTCCAGTCCAGAACACAGAGTGAAAATACTAAGTTGCATTTACTGAGTATTCATAGTGTGTCAGGCCTTGTGCTGAGCACTTTATCGCAGGGTCTCATTTAACCCTCTCAGCCGCTGTGAGCTGGTGCAAGGTTTATGCCCATTTCACAGAGAGGAGAAACTGCACAGAGGCAGGACTTGGGCCCTCATCTGTCTGACTCCAACATGGGTGTCTTTATCACTGTATGTCAGTCTCCCAACCGTATAAACTGCTGGGCGTATAAACTGCTGGGAGGCACAGCTCACATGGGAGCTGGGCCGTAAGGTCAGTGCACAGGGGATGATCGTGTATGGTCAACAGCAATCTTGAGAATCCCTCCCACAGGCCACTGGGAAGGGCGGCGTCTCTCTCAGGCCTCTGAGATGCCTATGTGCTGAAAGCCCATTAGACTGAAGCGTGCTGGAGGCAGCAGGAGCCTGTTGCACACGACTGCTTTAAGAAGCCACCAAATCTTTACTGTGCCACACACACCAGGTGTTTCTTCATATATTACCTCTGACTGCCCCAACAATCCTGTGAGGTAGTTGGTACTACTCTCATGTTACAAATAAAGAAACTGGGGCTAAGAGAGGCTGGTTAACTTGCCCAAGGCCACTCAGCCAGTAACAGGGATTTGTAGTCACCTGAGTCCCAAATCGGTACCCTTGATGTATAGCAGCTCCTCCTCATCCTAGAGGCCTGGCAGGAAGACACTGGGGTCAGTGGGAGGTACGGAGGTCCACCCAGTCCCACACATGCAGGGAGGCATCGCTTGCTGCAGACAGCAAAGTTCTCGGTTTGCGGGGGTGCCAGGTGTGGGTGGTGACCAGTGGAGCTGTGTCTATCCCATTGCTGTCTAGGAAAATGTGACCTCTGTGAGTGAACAGAGGTTCTACTTGGCCCTTCATTCCATCCCAAGACGTAACGTCATAGATCTGGACTGTCCCATCAAAGCCTGAGGAAGAATAAGAAAAGAGAGAGCTGACATTGAATCTCTAAAATCATTTGTATAGTTTGCTCTACAGTGCAACAGGCTTTGAGATGAGGAATCAAATAGTAACAAGACACTTAATGGCCACCTGAAGGGTATGGACATCTTCCCTCATGCCCGCAGCTGCCGACTCCATGGGGCATGTGACAAGTATCTGCTGGATGTCTATTTCATACCAGGACTGAAGCTAATCCTGGACATACATTCTTTTAATCCTCACAACTGTGTGAAGTTCTTAATGTTTACCCCAGGAAACTGAGGCTTAAGAGACTTTTTCAAACCTTTCCACTTGCCCCAAATTCTAATCATTCCCCATCGGGGTCCCTCTCAGCAGATGGCCTGTCTCCTAGTGGGGAAAAAGAAGCCTTTACCGGAATAGTCCCATGTTCCCCCACGGCCTAGCTATCCCCATTCTGCTGTCTTTTGTTATCAGAGAGCCAGTCCCTCTATCCATCCTTGCTTCTTCTGCCCTTCCTGGACCCTGCCATTACCAAGTATCACTTTTTGCTCTCTCAATTATTCTTTTAACCTTTCCCCCGCTCAATGGAGGCTTCCCATCGGCCTTTAGGGACCCACATTAAATTCCCCCATTCAAATAGATGCTGCCAGGCCAGACCCAAGATCTGACTGCTAGGGGGCCTGCTACAGTTCAGAAAGCAAGTATCCTGAGAGGCACTCCTGAGGTCTTACCACCTTTTTCTGGTACAGCCATGGCTGTCCCACTGCCTTATTATCTGAAGGCCTCTCGACCAACCTCAGAACGGAATTCCTGCTAAGGACAGGAAAGGCCAGAGCAGGGGAGGGCCCGCCCCTGAGGACCTGGAGAGTTAATGCGGGGCTTCTCTGTGAGCAACTTTAACTTCTGCGGCCAGATTTACTATGGGGCTTCAGGCTCCTTCCCGAGCACCATCCAGCCCACCGGAAGGGAAATTCAAATAACAGACACAAAACCTGCTCAGAGGTACCTGAAATGGCCAAGCAGTTCTCCAAGCCTGGAGCCCAAGTCACTCGCAGCAGCTTTGGGTCAGGGCTAGGTGTGGACACTGGGCACTGGACTGAGCTCACAGGATGACAGAGATCACGGGGATCAAGAAGACAGAGCTGGCCATCTGAGCAGAGGCTGGCGATGCTGGGCCCAGGGCCCCGGGCCGTGCCCCCAACTTCCGCATACCACCTCGCTCCACCAGACCCAGGGCTGGGGCTGCCATTCTCTGACGGGGCCCACTTCTGGCGGGTGTCTACGAGCCCCAGCCGGCCTGAGGTGCAGCAGAAGGCAAAGGTGTCTGCATCCAGGACCTGCAGGCTACTTAGCTCCTCGCTGTCACTGACACCTGGAAGACAGAGAGCGAAAGACAAAGGCTGCAGGAGTCAGCTGGGTCTGGCAATTTGGTAGGGCGGGCTGGTCACAAGCCCTTCCTCTGGGACGCCTCCCCAGTCCCAGGTAGAATGAACCACATCTGCTCTCTCCTGTTCATCTTGCCACATTCCACTCAGCTGGGTGGATGCTGGTCCCCAGGACTGCCTCCCCCAGTCACAGAAAAGGAACCCCTTGAGGCCAGGGCTTGCTTCTCATACATCTTGTATCCCTAGTCTCTGGCATTCAGGGTTGAATTCAGTTCAAACGTGTCTGAGCAGGGCAGGGCGATGGGTACTCCCTGGTGGAGCCAGAAAGGGTGAACCACGCTGTACCTGAGGTGTACATGGTCTTCTGGGATTCCAGATCCACCACCTGCAGACTGCTGAGCCGCGCCCCGTGGAGGACTCCGGGTGCTACTGCTGGGAAGATGGCCACCCTAGGCCAGAGATGCCCCTCTTTCTCGTGCACAGCAATAGTGCTGACAGCTTCAATGATATCTGAGGGAAAGTGGAAGAGGCAAAAATCCAGAATATTAATAGTTTAAAATAGTACATGGTGAAAGCTGGCCACGTACATTTAGAAGGTCAAGGAGGAAGGGAGCTGACAGTTGGCGATAGAGGATATGGAGACATAAACACTCTGTGTTATGTTTACGTTTTGAAACTGTCAGAAGCACTTCAATTTCTGTATAATTCTTCTTATGAACTGTTTTGCAAATGGGAGATAATGAATCAGAGCCGCCACCTCAAAACCCCCAAAAGCAGTTCTGGCTTTTTACAGTTTTGTGGAGAACAAATATAGAGAAAAGGAAAGAACACGCTGATGGTGTCACACCTGAAGTGAAAATAACAAGAACACAGTTCATGAACTAATATCATTTTTTAAAAAACATGTTCTATGACCTAAGTAATTTGCTGAAGCCTTGCGAGTAAAGGTTATAACACAAATGTCTTCAAACGTAAACTGAACATGAAAGCCCACGTCCTTTTTGCACTGAACAGAAGAAACACACTTGACCTCAAGTTGAATCAAATTTTAGTTTTGTTTGTTTGTGTCAGCCTGCTGGCTTAGCAGGCAGGTTCTGGTCTCCACATCTACATTTGAGGCTTCTCTTAACAGGAACCATTTAGAACAAAGTTCAGAACCAGTAGTTTGTGATACAAACTACTTAAAGGAAGACACATATTTTCCATTTTATATTTTCTTGCTCCAAGGGGGGCTCATTACTTGGTTCCCACATACTTTGATGAAAAGAGAGATCTACGTATTTTTTAAATTCCAATACCTATAAGAGTCACATATCTGATAATGGATGAGAGAAGGAGCACCAACACAGCTTATGCAGCAAGTCCCCTCGAGAGAGCTCCGAGGGCACGTCCGGGCTGGGCTGCTTACTGCCCCCCAAGCCTGTGGGCTCTCGGTGGGCTGAAATCAGACTTACTCAACTTATCTGCTCCTGCCACAAGAACTGCAGAGGTCCTGAGCAGACACGGCAGCTGAACCTCAGGACCAGGGTTTGCCCCTGGGGAGCACCAATGAGGCTGTGGCTCAAACTGGCAGATCTTCCTGATCTCCAGGGCCACAATGCAGTGGCTCCCTCTGCCCTTTCCCTCTGCCCTCACTCTGAGGAGCCGCCAACAGATTCCCCAGGAACCCCTGCTCTGAGTCAGGGGATGGCTCTCAGATGTGATCTGTCCCCTGATGGGGGTAAGGAGGAGACCAAAGGAAAGGCTTCAGAGATCTACTTCAAAGATGCGGTGGAAAACAAAGGCTTCGGAGCCCAACGAGAGCTGCTCTATAATTATGACGGGAAAGAAATACGAGTTTCTTCCTCCTCTCTCCCTAGTCACAGGTAAATCTATACCACATTTTCCAAACCAGTCCCAAACTGAAAAGAGAAACTATTACAAATCGAAGCAACAGACACAGGGAGGCACCTCCAAGAACTTGGCAATTAGACAAAGAAGGTTGTGCCTGAAGATTAAACCAACACGAAATGGGTCAAAGCAGAGGCAGACACGCCATTCAGGGGTCAGGATGGTGCCCAGATCTGCACTACTGAGCAAATGCACTAACACATGAGAAGGGCTGATCAGCCAAGGAGGCGAAGAAAGCACTGGGGCCTGTCCAGGGCAGACGGAATATTTAACATCAAAGTGGAAGTGGCGACCCAACCCAGCAGCTTCCACAGCCCCAGGTGTGAGAGGAGGCCTCAGGCACTGGCCAGAGGCTGGGATACCAGGCGGGCCTAGGCAGCGATGCCTTCACACATTGGACACTTTCCGCCTAAGACAGCTTATGAAAACACCATCTGGAAACCTCTGAACTGATTCCTCTTGTGATGGTTACGTTTATCATGCAGGTTAAGTCTTCTACAGGCAAGGAATAAGGACCTAGAATATTTCACTTTTAGGGATACCTTTTTTTTCATTATAAATGAATAAAATTGTATTCCAGCTTATACAGCAGACTTGTGAGTCCGGTGAGTACAACTGCCCCTATGAACAGATGAGATGTGTTCTGGACGTGCAGACAAAATCAGGTTTCTGAGACAAGAAAGCTGTAGGTCAAAAATGGACCTTGGAAAATTCACTAAGATAACACTATGCTTTTAGGTTTCTAGGAAAACAGCTGGCCAGCCTTGGCCAAGTTCTGAAATGTTCTGCACTGATATCTAGGGGAAGATAACTCTTTATCTGATTTCCTACTCCCATTGAGTGTCAGAGCAAGCCCCCTTGGGCCATTTGCTCCCCTAGGCCTGGGGCTACAAGTTCTAACTGGTGCCTCGTACCTGGGCACTGTCGGGACAACAGGCAATGTAAAGGCGCCTCCAAGTGGTTAGTTAAGATTTATCTCCCTCTCATCTTGAAACTACTGCTGCCCGACTCAGCCTATTTTTAGGCAAGCTTCAAGTTACTGGCACAAGGAGAGACCAAAAGATCAAAAGAACAGAACGTAGAGTCCAGAAATAAAGCCTTATACTTATGGTCAATTGATTTTCAACAAAGGCACCAAGGCAAATCAATGGAGAAAGCATAGGCTTTTGGACAAATGGTGCTGGGACAATGGAATATTCACATGCGAAAAGATCGATGAATCTTCCTCAAACTGTACTCAAAAGTTAACTCTGAAAAAAGCATCAACTTAAATGCTAGAGTGGAAAAAATAAAACTTTTGGGAAAATTTATGGGTTAGGTAAAGATTTCTAAGCTATGACATAAAAAGCATAGTCCCTAACAGAAAACAGTGATAAATTAGATCTCAGCAAAATCTCAAACTTTTATATTTCAAAGGACACTATTAAAATGAAAAGACAAGTTACAGACTGGAAAGACAAGTTAGCCAAACACATATCTGATAAGTAACTTGTAGCCAGATACAAAGAATTCTTACAACTCAATAAAGATAAAAAGCCAATCAAAAAGTAGGCAAAGTATTTGATAAAATATAAACACCAACAATGCAAGAAACGGCTGTTTTTGTTTGCTGTTTTAGCTCCATAACCTTGCCCAATGCTTTACACATCAGAAGCACACAATGAATATTCGTTGACTGAATGATGAGATGTTAGCTACTGCTACAAATAACAGCAATAATAACAATTATTAAAGATGTGCCCTTTCATTGACAGGAACCAGCTCTAAGCAAAATGCTGGCATAGCCCACACTGCTGGTCAGTAAATAGCCTACCACCTTTTTCAGGGGCCCTGTATCTATACTGAGATGAATTATTACTATCCAATTATAGTTACCACCAGGCATGGTTATGAGCAGACTGACCTAAGTCTTGATTTTGCTACTATCTTTGTGACTTTGAACAAGTTAGTCTCTCTGCGACAAAGAGTTTGTTCTCAGACTCATGAGAATTTAATGGTACAGAGTGCTTAGTACAGTGTCTGGAATAAAATATGCACTCATTAATATTATTGTTTAATCTTACAAACTGTTGATTAATCTGAACAAGTATCTATGAGAATGCACAGTGAAACCAGAACATCAGAGGACTTATGACAGTGTACTGTCTCAGCTTGCTGGGGAAAAGAAACAACTAAACTTTCTCATGAAGATATGAATAGGCACTTCACCACGGAAGATGTCTGAATGGCTAATAAGCACATGAAAAGACACTCAACCTTATTAGTCGTTAAGGAAATGCGAATGAAAGCCACAATGATATATAATTTTATACCCATTAGGATGGTTTTAATAAAAAAGACAGACAATACAAATGTTGGTGAGGATATGGAGAAACAGGGACCCTCTCATACTGCTGGTGGGAATGTAAATGATGCCATTTTGGAAAACAATTTGAAAGTTTCTTAAAAAAAACAAATTTACCATATCACCCAGCAATTTCACTCCTAAGTGTCTACCCAAGAGAAATGAAAACATATGTCCACACAGAGACTTATACATGAATATTCATAGCAGCATTATTCATAACAGCCAAAAACCAGACCCATCAACCAGTGAATGGACAGATAAACGTAGTATATCCAAACAACGGAACATTATTCAGCCATAAAAAGGAACAAACTACTGATACATGCTATGACATGGTACGTTACAGCAGACCTCAAAAGCATTATGTTAAGTGAAAAAAGCCAGATATAAGAGACCGCATAGCATATGATTCCATCGATATGGAATGTCCAGGAAAGGCAAACTATTATAGGGACAGTGAGTTGATTACTTGTTGCCCAGGGCAGGGTGTGGGCATGGGATTAATCGTAAATAGCATGATGGATCTTCCTGGGGTTCTAAAATTGATTGATAGTGATGGTTATTTAATTTTAAAATCACTGAATTGTATCTTTTTTAAACGTGTGAATTTCAGTAAAATTACAGAAAAATAGTAACTATAAATAAGTGATATAAACATCTGGAAGCTATTGCATAAAACAAATGACAAAGAAGAAACACCAAAGAAGGCCAATAGGGTCAGCCTTTCTGCAGCAGTGACACAGGAAGAAGCCAACAGATGCAGCCAGTTTCTGGGAAGCACCCAAGTGACAGGTACAGGGACCCCTGGGAAGAGGATCATACAAGCAAAGGGGCAGTACCAAGAGCAGCGGCCCTTGCCTCTGAGGCACACCTCCCTGCCGGCGGACAATGCTCTAACTGAAGGAGAAATGGAAAGGCTGGGTCAGGGCTGCAGGCTCTGGCACCTGCCTCTGCCAAGGAAAGAGCAAACCCACTGCTGGAGGGAATGCTATTCCCCACCAGGGCATGCTCCTCCACTCCCGGAGGGAACGAAGGCACGCCTCTTGCCCCTTTCCCATTCTCACTGGGGAGCAGAGTGAATTCTCTGAGTCGGAGACTGGTTAGCCCAGCATCTTGCTCACTCGCTGCTTTCCTTCCTTGAGGTTAGCAGAGAAGTGACCTCCCCTGAGTGGCCCTAGCTCTGCCCTCGCCTCTGCCACCGCCTGGGGAAGAGGTAGTTCACTAGGAGATTTGCCTATGACTGGTTTGGGAAACTCAGTTCCTGAAGCAAGTTACAGGAAGCTCTGTTTTGGGCTTGCATGCCGTGCTGTGGTTGCCAATTCATCTCTACCTGCATTAGAGTAGACACTGCATTTTCATGTTCACCTGGCTCTGAGTCTACTTCTTAATTGGCTCAGATATGTGGGTGAAGGTATATGAGTGTCAGCCAAGTCACATTCACTCACCACTGTCCTCTGAGACCTGCCACACCTGCAAGGCCACTGGAAGGCCACTGGTCACCAGCAACCTATTCAGGATGGAAAGGAAATCTCAGTCCAGAGAGTGGGGAGCTCACCCATATCACCCCCAACCTTTCCCCTCTCCAGCCCACTCAGCTTGGGATTCCTACATCTCCCACCCAAGGAAAGCTCACTACAGGAAAGCATCGTCCAGACCAGTCCCCCTCATTAAACAGAGGAGGAGAGGGCTCACTCCACTTTAGGACAGGCCCATAGCTCATGGAGAGTCACAGCAATGAGCCCAGGGTTCCATGTAGTGTGTATGTGTCAGAGAGGACACCAGCATGGAGCCTGAAAACACAGCCCTGACAAGACTCTCAGCCTCTGCCAACTGAGCTATTATCCCCAGCCACCTACTATCAGCTCTCTGAGAAACTAGTAGCATCCTTCTTCCACGCTATTTCAGAGCAGCTCCAGAGATCTGTGAGTTACAGTAGTCAACAGGTCTCTGAGGGACCAAGAAACCAGCAAGCAATAGATTCTTATTCCAGATCTCTGTGTGTGCATGTGCACACATGTGCCCATGTGCTGATAAAGAGGCAGAATTCTCCTGACATTTCCAGCCACTCCATCCTGAATGGAAGGTCTGGATGACAGAGCTGACCATACCTGGTGTTTGGCACGTGCTTCAGATCAAAGACAGACCTGTGTGAAAATCCTCCGTGGCATACCTTGAAATCTCTTTCTGGGAATAAGCCCTGAAATACAAAGAGGTGGCCAATCAGATAGACTGTGCTCCCCAAAGGAATGTTTCAGATGAGCTCTAGGTAAGGAGCCAGGTCCTAGCCTGGCAGGAGGCCATGAACACCGCTCTGCTGGCAACAGATTTTTCTCCCTGCAAGGCCTCAGAGTGCCGCTATTTGTCAATGTTGGTCTTAGCTGTCTACATAGACAGCTTCCTTTCGTTCCTGTACATTCCAAAACTCTTCTCCTATCCTTTCACCAGCCCCTCACTCTAGCTTAAATGTCAGCCTCTAGGACTTCTTAGAGGAGTCACAGAGGCTTAGCAGCTTCATCAAAGAAAGCTGGAATGTATCAGCCAACGAACACATCCCCATTTCTCCCACCACCTCCCTTCTATTCTTCTAGCAATAAAAATATAACCCCCAATTATCCAGCATCTACTATATCAGGCACTGTGTTTAGTGCTTTATCTACTTTATCATGTTGCATTTTTACAATCACCTTGTGATGTAGGCACTATGAATTATCCCTGTTCAAATGATAAAACTAAGGCCCAGGGAGCTTAAGCAACTTTTCTAAGATCACACAGGGATTATGCTGAGAATGTGAACCCAAGTCTATCTGCCTAGTCCATGTTCTTAGCCACTAGAGTCTAATATCTCCATGAGAAGAACTGTAGGCAGGGGAAAAGGAGGCTGCACAAGAAGAGGAAAAGCCAGTGGTGAGATAGGAGGTAAGTCGGGTCTCTCACCAGGGCTCAGTCTGGGCAAGCTACTGGCTCAAGCTTGAGTGGTGGGGATGGGGAAATCAAGAGCACTAACGAGGCAGGAAATTTCTCCCAGGGTTAACGGGGCCCAAGGCGCCCTATCAGATGACTTGGAATGATTTTATAGCACATCAGACAGCTACCAACTCTCTTCTTTTTGACACGGTCTCTTCTCTTGGCTTCTGAAACACTGACCTTTTCTGCGATTCCTACTTCAGAGTAATCCTTGTGGGTTCACCTTTCTCTACCCATTCCTTAAATGGTATTAAAATAATTTTTAGCCATCTCCTCTTATTCCTAATACACTACACATTCACTCTAGGTGATCTTAACCATTCTAAGGGTTTCAACCAAACTCTATATCCTGATGGCTTATTAAATCTATTTTTGATAAAGTAACATTGACCTCTTCCTCTGGTAGCCCTCTGTAAATCACAGACCATTCTTTAGCACGTATCTCTGTGCATAACTGCCTCCCTCTTTTAGCCTGAAAAGACAAGTCCAAGTGCTTGTTTCTCTCTTTCAGTATCCAGGACAACATTTAGACAAGAAAGAGCTCCATAAAAGTTTAATAAATGAGTAAAAGTAGATACATATACTCAGCATTTATATTTCAAGTTACCTGGTTTTCTTTTACAGAAAGTCTGAGCGGTAACATCAGATGAAGAATTTCATTTTTTTTCAGGCTTTCATAGCCAGCAACAAAGATTCCTAGAATTAAAATAATAATAAAAATAATAATAAGTAGCTGTGACAAACTGCTAGAAAGATTCTGGACCATAACTGGGTCTAGAAACTCCACCAAACCTTCCGAAGCAAAGATAAATTCCTTTGCCATTGGTATGCATACAGCCTTGTACTGGGGGATGGAAGAGATGTAGATCTTAATAAGTGCTGACAGGATACATAATTGGTACGAGTGACTAAGAGGCCCTCAGGCTCCCAGAAAAGTGGACTGGGTCCTTCTGGCTGAGCTCCTGAGTCCCAGCCTGAAGAATGAGATTTCATCTCTCACCTTTGTCACCAATCCATTCAAGTACCCGAGTGGCTCCTGAAAGGTCGAATGCATGAAAATCCTGGTACCTGCATGATAGAAACACAGTGTTACAGGGTGCATGGCTCTTTACAGCTCTGAAAGCACTGTGAGATAGCAGTATGGGTCGGTAGTTGGGGGCCTAGGCTCTGGAATCAGGCAGACCCGGGATCTAGTCTTGTTACACATTTTGACTCTTGTGTGACTGGGACCAAGCTAGTCACAAGTTCCTTGGGCCTTGGTCCTCATCTGTAAAATGGAACTCCCAGAGTACCCAGGCTTCCTAAGCTTGATGTGAGGAAGCAGAGATAATTTGTTCAGGGTCCGACTCAGAGGCAGGCGCAAAATAGTCACTTATCACCCTCCGCAAGTACTGCTCTTACTAGCACCTCACACAACTTGTGCACACCGGAATGTGCCATTTCCTAGAAGCGGGAGCTGAGGCCCGGGCGGGGTTCTTCGTACGGTCCCGCCCCACGGCCAGCGCCGGCCGGGCCCACACCAGGTTTCCCTACGTGGTCCACCTCGCGCCCATCCGGCCACCAGGTCACCTCCAGGCCCGCACTCCCCATCCCAGGCCCACAAGATTTACAAGCGCAAGGATTCCACCAGCCAGTCCTCCGCAGGTTCCATGGCAACTGTCGCTTCCGGTACCCCACTTCCGTCTCGGAGCCTTCATGGGCGGGAGAGGCCCTCTCGCGAGGAGAGGACGCGACTTGCTCGGAGCCGGGGGCGTGGCCTCACATCAGGGAGCGGGGCCTAATATGCCTGAGCGCCGTCAACAGCACGCTGTGCCCTCGCCCGGCTAGGTTTCGGGTTCTCCCGGCAAAAATCTCTGGAAAAATGACGGAAAATCAGGGATTCCCAGGATGTCAACTCTAGGCGAGGCCTGAAGGTCCAAATACTGTCCGTTTTACGTCTGGGTATTTGTAGATCAGAGGGCCATGACCAGATGTGATACAGGACGCCCGGTTAAATTCGAATTTTAGATAAACAACGAATAATTTTTTATCAATTTTCTTATTTTTTCTTATTGTGTCCGTGCAATTTAAGGCATCTTATTCGTTAAAATGATATGTTCCCCTTCAGTACAGGAGGCCGCTGGTGTAAATTTAACTGGGTGGTCTGTATTTTTATTTGCTAATTCTCGCAATCTATCCAAGGTCAGAGATGACAGTAAGAGGACAGCAGAGTCTGGATCCCAGCTGGTCTCTCTCCTTTGATGCTCCCCTCAAAGCTTGGCATGAGGATGAAATTAATGGGAAAGCAAAGACCCATCCTCCTGTAGTGTAGGTAGCTCACTTTTATGGGTAAGGAAACACAAGAGACTTGCCTGTGCCAGTAAGAACCCCAAGCCTGGCGCAGGACCTGGCATTCAGCAGGTGTTGAGCACCTGCCTGCTGCATGAGCGAATGAGTAGGAGTCCTGAGTCAGTGCCAGGCTGGTTTCCATGGAGTGTTCTGGGCTTTTTCCAGTCACTGAAAACACCCTGTCGTCCAGCCCCCTTTCCCTCCCATCCCCTCAGACATGCCAGAAGGAGAGGACCAGACGTTCTATGTAAAGAGCTGGGTTTTATTCACAACTTCAGGGAAGCAAGAAATACAGCAGGAACACAATTTGGTCTGCACTGGTGACATTCCCAGTAACCCGACCAGACATCACAGAAATGGAGTAACAGAGATTCGAGCCCAAGATTTACATCCAGATGGGGCCACTACCAGGGTCCCATTCAGCACCTTCCCTGGGTGGGCACAATCTAAGCCATGTTGTCGTGTCTTCCTCATTAATGGCATCACTTCTGCAGCATTTACACCAGCGGCCTCCTGTACTGAAGCGGAACATACAGAGGAATTGACCTGGGCAGAGGAGGCAACTGATAGGGGCACCCTACCATTCCTAAGTGCTAGACACCTACAGAAGGAGACAGGGGCAGGCTGTGTGCTGAGGCAGGCCACCCCAGCACCTTTTTCCTCAAGATGGGTCTGAGAGGGGCTGGGGCAGTGGTTTTTTCACAACAGCAGCCCCAGCCTCAGAGTGGTCATGACAGTCAACAGAGATCATGGAAGTAAAGTCCACGTACGGCGCCTGGCCCTCTGCCAGTGCCAGTGTTTTCACTTCCTCATCCCTCCAGCTCTGCCCCAGACCTCACTTCTGAAGCCCGTCCCCCAGGGCTAGCTACTGCTTCCTCTTTAGTTGCTTTACACGTTTCAGGCCTTCAAGACCAACAGCCCCAGAGGTGACATCATCTCCCTTCAGACTCAGCCACCCCAAGCTCCTGGCCCTTATCTCTGAGGTCTTCAGGGGCTGGTGGTTCAGTACATTGGGAGGGTTAGGAAAGTTGACTGCAGCTCCACCTTCTTGAGGACATGCCTCTTTCTTCCTTCAAAATGTACGCACTATATGCTAGGCTCAGGGAGGCCATAGAGGTGAGTCAGCAACAGGTGCTGCTAGGGCACTCCCAGACTAATAACCCCCGTTTGCTAAGCACTTTCTATGCGCCCGGCATCATGCTGAGCACGTGACATAAATGGTTTCATTTAATGGGAAATGGGCACTATTAACCCCACTTTACCGATGAGAACAATGAGGCCTAGAGAGGTTAAGTGACATTTCTAAGGTCACACAGCTACTAAGTAGCTAGGTTTTGAGCCTAGCACACTGTCACCTGAACCCACATTCTACCATATCACGCTGCCTTCTGCACACAGCAACAAAGTACACCAGAGAAGGTGATGTAGGATGTGGACAGCACCAGGAGCAGGGAATGGAGGACCTGCCCCTCTACCAGGCTAGAGACTGAGCCTGGCTTGGCTCTAGCTTTGGGACCTTGAATCCCACAGTTCAGTGGTCTACAAACAATGGTGATTTTAACTCTGTCCCTTGTCCCCTCACGAGAGCACCTCTGGCAACATCTGTAGGCATTTTTAGCTGTCACAATTGGGGAGGTCAGGGGATGCTCTAGTGGATAGAAACCAGGGATGCTGCTAAACCTCCTACAAGGCACAAGACAGCCTTACAATGAAGAATTACCCAGCCCAGAACGTCAAGAGTGCTGAGGTTGGGAAATTCTGCCACAGGTCACTGAGGAAGATGACAGACTGGGAAGAGTACTGGTTAAGGTGAATAAGGTCGGACTCTGTCTCGGCTGCTATGTGACTCTTCCCCTTTCTGGGCCTCAGGGTGCCACCTCTAACCACAAGCATATACTGGGCACAGCGAGGGTGGATAGCTGGGGTGGGGAACAAACCTGTATGGACTGTGAGGGGAAGGTCCAGCTGCAAGAGGCTGGATAATCCTAAACTGTGACTCCAGACTGGGCACTCCTTCCCCTACTTTTTGCTCCGTGGTGTTTGCTAGGAAGGTCCACTTTTCCCTTCTTTGGCGTCCTCTTCCTCTGTGCTCTGGATCCAGGAGAGCCTGGAATCCCTGGATTTCTGGGGCTCATCACACCCTGGCTGGACAGTCACATCCTAAGCCCAATGCTGCACCCAGGGGCAGCCCTGGCTGAGCCTCTCCTGGGCCCAAGGTGGGGGCCTGGCTCACCTGGGTGTGAGATGCTGGGCCACTGAGGCTCATGCC